CTCAAGCAATTTATTCCCCTTCAGTAAGTTAGGGAGTCCCAGCAAAAGTCAGGCTTAAATAAAGGGATACTTTTTGCCACACTTAGTTTACTGTGACAGGAAAGTCTGTCACGTTCCTTCTAAACAGTGATCTCTTACTGACTTTTATAATGAACGCGGTAACTAATTAACAAAGTTCAGTGCATAGTTTCCAGTACTCTAAGCTATAATGAACTAGTAACCATCTTCCGAAATACATAATGAAGCTGAAAACCTGAGGTGCTGCACTACACAATGTTTTCACTCTAAAAAGATGCATTTGTGTAGACACAACCTACGCTCATTTCTCAACTATTCTAGATAAAGAGAATCTACAGGACCCAAAAATCAAATGCTTTCTTTCAAAAGCTCTTGCAAAAAACCAGGACTTTAAAAAAATCTACACAGTTTATAAAGTTATTCAAGATGAAAGGTGTCATGTGTATTCACAATACCCTTCTCTTCATTATACAGAACAATTAAAGAACTAAATCTTGTATATGTTATTAAAATCCAGTATATGTACATTTTTTTTATATAGACTTTTTTTCCTAGCAAATTTTTTATCTCCCTTTGAATAGAAATAACGTAACAGAGAATTGGTATTTGCTGGACTCAAATTTGACCATTTCTGGTTAACTGAGTATTAGAATCACTGGTTTGACCTACAAAAACAGCTGCAAAAATGGTTAAGTCTAGGCTGAAATTTCACCTATTATTTCCTGCACATAAAAAGGCAAGAAACAATTAAAAGGAAGTAATAGAAATTAAGCTTTGAATATTAAAAACAAAAAGGAAAACACTTCAGGCAAACAAGAAGTTATCCTTCAGGCATAGAAGTTCAAGGTAGTGGAAGGAATTAACTAGGGGAAGACTGAAACATAGAAGTTAATCGAAGTTAATCACATGGTAAGCAGAAGAATGCTGAACTGGACTTGTCTCTCATCCTGCTTCCTTCTATCCTGTATAGTGCATGTGCAAAGAAAGACTGAGAGTTAAAGATCAACTGCTATATTATATACACTGTTGTTCTTTTAGTTGTAAAAATGCTGGTTGGTTCCCTTTCTGCCTCCATTCTTCAGGGATCAGTGAATATGCCAAGAAACCGTAGAAATAGCGATTGCAGTTGAAACTGGCAAGTCAAAGCTATCTTTAAAACAGAAATAAAGCACATGCAAAACTTACACTATTTGTATGCTTTAATTTAAAGAAAAAGGCATCAAAAGATTTTCGGTGCTATATTATTTCTGGCAATTGCACAATAAGCACATTCCTCTGCTTATGTGCGTCACATCCACTATCCTGAAGGCTCATGAAAAATCACAAGAATTGCAGTGTGTCATGGCGCAGAACGGGTTACACCAGAGCTGTTCTCATTCAAGTAGCTTTGTGTGTTTTACCAATGTGGTAATAAAGAAAAAGAAGGGGGAAAGAGAAGGGGGAGTAAGAGATCTTTATATCATTATTAAAAGAAATGGTACCTTCAGATCACACATTTTTCCTGGAGAAAAAAACAAGATGCAACAAATACACATGATCAAAACACGGTATTTTCAAAACACAATAGAACGAAAGCCACAGTTTGATGTGTATTCCATTTACTTTGATAAGAGCTGGAAAATCCAAACCTGTTCAGCTAAGCCAGTTTCCCTCTGTAATATTCACCATCCTTTAGAAAACAATCAGTGTTAGACAGTTTAAAACCCAAATGCACCTTAAAGAATGCACTAATCACCGGCCACTCTGTAGACACTGGTAATTAAGTGAATCAAGATCTTCCCCTGAGTTTTGGAATCAGCTCCTTACTCAGCTGCTATATTGTCAACAGCTGGCATGAATTACTGGGAACATTTGGCTAACTGGATAATAGGGAGGACAGCCTGTGGTTGGTCCAAATTCTACTTCACTGATCTGTTTCAATAAAAACCAAACCTCATTAGATCCTCCTTTTCTTTTTTTAAAGCAGTAACAACACTACAAAGATTGGGTTTTCTATTTTACTCCCTCATTATGTGCAAACAATGTAACTGTACAACTCTCAGATGTTGCATGGACTAGTGTGTAACTGAAGCCCCAATTCCCTATAATTTAATAATGCCTGTTTGCAACACTGATTCATCCTCACCCACATCACATCTCTCTCTTGGCTGGTGTGGCAAAGGTTTGCTACTCTGAATATATTTTTCTACTTTCTAGCAATTCATCAGTATAGATCACAATAACAAAACCCTCAAACTCTACCTCTCATCTAGCTTACTGAAGAGAAAATATCCACCAAACCAAATTTTCTCCAAACGGCAGCTTTGTTATGAAGTAAAGTCAAATTATATTATTACAGACCCTCACAACCAAATGCCACCTGCTGTTACTTTGCTACATCATTTGCTTTGTGCCCATGCAGCTATCAAATACTTTCCAGAAATCAGTGCAGGAACCCAGTTCTAGCAGAGCAACATGCTTAAAAGTGGTTTTAATGGTTTTGTACACAGTCTCTAGTGCGCTCATCTTTGCTACAGGAAGCTATGGGAAACAGGCGCGTTTCCTAGGCTGTCCGTCTTTTCCTATCAACAGGTAACAGGGAATTTAAAGAAAACAGCTTCTCAGATTGCAGCCCCTGGAGAACTGCTCAAATCAAGAACAAGTCTGATATAAAGCAATTACCTTGTTATTGCCAAGCATTAACAACCCCCCCAAGTATTTAGGTAAACTCTACACGCATGTTACATACTCAGAGCATTCAGTTACAGCTGTCCTTGAAAAATATTGGATTATCTTTTGCCTTTCCTTCCAAAACCAAACATTTAAAGTGCTGGCTTTTTTCTCCTCTTTGATCAAAACAGCACTGTAACTTTTGAGGTAGCAGAGGATTAGTCCAATGTAATGTCATGGCTAAAGCTAAAAAGAAACTAAAAAGCTAAACCAATTTTAATTTAATTTTTTTAATATTTGCTGAGACTATTCTCAGATGTCTCATGAACTCTAACAAGCATCATGTTAGTATCAACATCTGGTAGCTTAGTGGTATGGCAACCCCCACTTTTGCCGTGAGCTACCATACAGATGTCACTGAAAGGCTTTTTAGTTTAGAGGGCTGGTTCCATAAAATTATCTAATGTATTTCAGTAATTCACACTGGTATTATATTGTACTTGATTGGGATAACAACAAACACAGAACAGTATTAGAATTCATATATCATCACCATTACAGTGAGGGCCATCACTTGTGCATCATTCTTTCACAGAGAAAGCAATCTAAGCGAAGGTCAAGCCAGCAGGATAAATGTGGCTACTTTCTGGATTTCAATCATGCCAGTCATAAGTAAGCCACCTTTTGAAAGGCAGTTAATCCTTGCTGTAGGGGCTAGAATTTAATAGCAGGCAATTGTGGCAGGTAAAAATTATAAATGGCTTTTAGATTCTTCCAGCCTTTTATACCCACATGCTGTTATAGTGATTTCCAAGAGAATTTGTACTATGACAATAATGTATAATGTTGTGGGAACTGGAGAGAGAAAAGAATAATACAAACTTTTTTTAAAAGTACATTTTCTAAGTAATGTGTTTTATAACTTAAATAGCTCACAAGAAAAAACTGTTGATGTAGCCTTTTCAAAAAATAAGCTCTTACTTAGAAAAGCTGGTGGAAGAAAAGAAATCCTAAATATAATAGATAATGTAGTACTTTCAGACTCAGAATTCCCTCTGATCCACACAGACATTGACTCTACAGCTCAGGGGCTTACTAAACAGAGCATTACAATGACCAACTTTGGTGCTTTGGGAATCACTGACAATGAATGCCCAATTACAGGGCTGAAAATATTCTGCCATTATCCTCCTTAAAGATTACTCAATAAAAAAGGAAAATGAAAACAAAAATAGTTTTGTTAGGACAGTTCACAATTGCTCTACTACAGGAAAACGTGGGCACCGGCAGCACAAGAGGAAAGGCTCACATGAGAGAATCTGAACTCCCCTCCAGCTTCGTATCCTACTGTGGGCAGAAACCCTTACCTCAGCAAGGTCCAGCTGGTAACAAGGAAACAAGAGGAAAACTGCTAGCAATGTTTTGCGAGGAAACATGGAGGATTTCTGCAGAAGATCCTGCTAACAGTCTAAAGCAAAAGGAAAAGCACGAAGGTGGTATCCTAAGAAAAGATATTGTGTTCTTTAAAGGAGATAAAATGAGACAAAAGCAGGAAATGTTGTCCTTCCTTTATCCTGAGAACTTCTTAATGAAAGGTCAAGGATAGCCATCAATCAAGATAAGGAAGAGGCAACCAAAGAGATGACCTCCTTTGGGGGTAACATGTATCAGATAGCACTTTTACACCGATGTAGTCCTCCTCTCTCTATGTGAGAGAAAAAGAGAACATAGTTTAATGCCAACTTTTAAAAAAAACCCCGAAAATTAAGCAGTTGAGATAGAACAAAATCAGACATTCAAGAGCCTATTAAGACCAAGACTAGCAGCCAAGCAAAAGCTTGCTTCCAAAATTTGTGAGGAGTGCAATGGAATTCTGTTCCTCACCACTCCCACAGTTTGGCACCTGGCTCAGGAGATGCATCTCCTTGGGGGCAGCCACCCTCGCTAGTTTGTTACTGATAAGCTGCAGGACTCATTACATGCACTTCAAAACTTCTGGTTTAAAGTTTGTTGCTTTTCTGAAAGACAATAATCCATTTCTAGTCATACTTGACCACACAGTTACAAGATGCATTTATAATATTCCCCTGCCAGTTATGCTTATGATGTCATTTTCAGGATGAAAAATCAGATTGCGTGGAATTGCATCTGAAGTAGATAAAATCAAATATCCATCAAAATAAAATGTAAGTATAAATACTTCTCAAATACAAGCCTTACACAGTTACTCTTCACTGGCTTTCTCAGCCAACAAGAGTTCATTTCTATTTCTTGGGTTAGTTTTAACACATGGAATTGTTCCAATATCGCTGCTCAGGACAAAGTAAGTTTACCAGCTCTCGAGGTAGAAAGGCCTCCTCCTGACGAGCCACAATCAGACAGACAGTTTCCCCTTGCTTTGTGCTCCTCAGCATAGCTACAAGCTCTTCCTGGGTCCTGCCAGTGATGTCCCGTCCATTCACCTACCAGACACAAAAGAACAGAGGATGTCCTATCGGTGATTATAACTATCTTCTGTCGTTTTCCCCTCACCTAACAGAGTTGCCATTCAGTGACTGAGGGCAAAGAAGAGTTAGCAACAGCTCCCACACTGCCTCCCCCTCTGGCCCCACACAAATCACTTAACCTTTTTCCCCTTAATTTTCACCATCTGTTAAAGCAGGTCTGTAGTACCTTACAGGGGGTTTGTGAGACTTAATTAGTTTGTAAAGCACTTTGAAGATGAAAAGTACAAAAATAAGACCTAAGTATTATTAAAACTGTTTACCTTAAGAGCTTTTTGAGGTTGGTAAGTAGAAATAACCCATTAGATAATGAGACTGTAAGTCACAAGATATCTGAAAATTTTAAGCAGGCAGATTTGAGCAAAATTGCCTTAAAATGAGCACTTAACCGCCTCAATGTTAATCAGAGATTTTTGGACATGGCTGAAGAGGCAAGACATGTTTTGTTTCAACTGATACATTTATCTACTTTAAGAACCAAGATGTTATCAGATCCCCATTGTTCAAACATCCCATGGACCCTTGTGAAAAGCACCCTTTTCCAAATCATAGTGTAAAATACTTGTTGACAAACAGTACAAAAGCCATGAGACTTTTTTTTTTTTTTTGTATAAACCAAGGCCAAGAATTTTAATTCCATACATCAGTAGTATGTATAAGGAAAGAAAATATTTATGCCAGAACCAGCAATCAATACTCAGCAATGCAAATACAATGGAAATTTATCCTAACCTCCAGGATTCTGTCTCCTGACTGCAAACGACCATCTTTTACTGCTGCACCTTTTGGTAAAATATTCTTCACAAAAATTGGACCAGGACCATGTACTGAAGAGTCTCTGGTAACCACAGTGAAACCAAGTCCCTCTGGACCTAGAAGGTCAGATAAAGAACTCCCAACATAAATTTCAAAAAGCAAATGATGATCATTAAAAGAAAGTAAACAATGTCAGTTACATATCACAGACACTCATTCAGGTTAGCTCTGAAAAAAAGAAGCAAACAGAAAGCTGTGAACATGAGCTTATTTTCTGCATGGTCTAGAGAGTAATTCTAGCAATGTCAGAACACATGCTCAAATCCTCCTGCAACAGCTACAGATGGAAATACTTTTGGATAGCCCACAGGAAGTTGTTTGCTGCTTGGAAACAAACAACCTCAAGGGTTAACAGATAAATGTTTTAACAAATAATTAAGGAGTAAAATCAATATTAGCAGGTATTGCTTATAAGCCACCAAAATCACTCAGGAATAGGAGGGTCCATAAAAATCTTTTTATATTGAGCAGGATTGCTACCTATGTGATAGTTTTCAGAGATACCATGTCAGTATCACATTCCTGACATTTCTAAAAATATAAATTACTGTTTCAAAATCAAAAGCATTACATCTAAAATGGGGAAAATTTTGACGTAGGTTTTGTTAATGCTAAGCTGAAGAATTTGGAAGTAAAAATGAGTGATTTAAGTTAAGAAATAACAAAAATTAAGAAATGACAGCTTGATTACATTCATTATGTTTTAAAAGAATAAAGTTACAGACAGTTTTTTAAGGGGCCACTTCTAGCATCAAATTTAACTCTCAGCCAAATCAGAGACAGAAATTAAACAGAAAATATAAACGCTAATTGGGATCTGCTTAAGCACATTTTACTACACGTGCATAAACCTGTTACTCCATGCAGAGACAGACACCTGCATGGAGCAGCAGTTAAAGATATATACCCAAAATTTGGTCTGCTGACAGCTGAATAAGTGCAGATGGAAAGAAAAGGTTTGTAGAAAATAAAAAAGGGAAAGACAGGTAAATCTGGTCAACTTTCTGGATAACATGAAACAGAGCAGAGTATATTTTTAAACATATCTTTAAAAGAATGTCGTAACAGTGCTGGTCAATTAGCAGATATGAATATAAGTAACACAGGTTACCAGCAGACAGTTCAAATTTTTATTCTGTACTTGTGAAAAGGCTGAATCATCTCTTAATTTTGGATATTGCTAATGAAATACCTTCCACATAATCAGTAACTGAGATGTTTTAAAAATCACTAAGTCTGGATAATATAAATCCACAATTTACAAGAAAGCTCTCTGTTGAGAACATTGCTGTTAACATTCCTTTACCTTTCAGAATATTCTTTTACCTTTTGGAACTTTTAACTGGCTTGTACTTTTAAAGTTACTAGTTTAGTTAAAAGTTAAGGTATCAGTACAGAGAACATGATAAAGAATTAATCATATAATCCCCAAAGACTTACCTTTTTTCAGGTCTATCTTTATTTTCTTTGCATTTTTTTTATTGCCAAAGCCCAAAAGGGGTGACAATGAAGGAGAAGATGACTTTCTACTTAGACGTGGGAGGTTGGGGCTCTTAGCTTGTTGTAGTGTTGCCTGTACACCTGCCTCCAAGCTGCTTGCGCCAGAAAGATTAATTGTTTTCAGAGCAGGTTTTGGATGAACAGGAGGTGGAATCTTTGTTTTTGGAACTCCTTCTTCATTTTCCAGAAAACAAAGGGGAGCAATAGCAGACTTCTCATATTGTTCTCGATTATATGGAGGAAGGACTTCCAAGATGACACTTTGAAATTTCATTGCCTGACGGAAGATGTCCTGAGCCCTTTAACAGAAAGGTATGAAAGCTTGTTTACAGAGAATAAGACAAAAACTTATCTTAGACGTGAAGAAATAACCTTATCTTCACATCTACAGGGTCCCTTTTCTAAAAAGTATGCATGAAATAAGACTTCTAAACTACAGCATTTCCTTACATTTCAAGGACAGACCTTATCCTGATTGTAGAAACCATGGTGTACTCCCAGCATAAGGATGTATAGGCTTAGGTCAGTTTCTTTCACACTCCTTGCAAATAGCCACTTGGCCATATGTTATAAGGTAATTTAATAACTCCCGTTTCAGGAGATGAATATTTTAAATATATGAAAGAAAAAATATAGCATCTTCTTCAAACAAAAATACATTGGAAATAATGCAAGACATCCTATGGGAAAGCCTAAATTCAGTCTTCAGGGGCAAAATAACTGGCTGCACTTAAAAGAGAAAAAATAATGGATGGAGAAATTTACATTTCTTGAGACCCCAAACACATAATTTAAAGAAGTAAGGGAGTCAATTAAAAGAGGTGCTATAAACTCTGCCACACAACAGAATGTAATTGAATAGATTAACAGCAAATAAAAAGTAGACCAACAGTCCCAATATATAAGACTATTATAAACAAGGGAATACAGAAAGTAGGCTGTTGCTATTACAGCTGCAGAAGCAGCAATCATCAGGAGCAATACTAGAAAAGTCCCTGCTGAAAATAGAAAGAGACAGTCTCTGCTAAGTGTTAAAACAGCTTTTACAAGGGTTATGAAGAAATGTCAATTTGAAACTAGCAAACAGATTTTCCTCTCAAAGGAGAATCTGATGACTATTTCTGGGTCAACAGTCATTGGGACAATACTTCGTCACATCCATTACAATTACTGCATTTCTGCAGCTTGGACTTCTGTCAGGTTAGTACAGTTATGTCATGCCAGATGAAAACTAAAAGGCATATTCACGGAGATTAGTTTCAACCCAGAAAGCTGCTTTTCTTAGCCATTCTCAACAGCCAGGGAAGAGAGATGATGCAGAAGGCTATTCTGGAAGGCAATTCAGGAGAACAATGTAACAGGACAAGGGAACAGGCTAGAGCTTGTCCAAAATATTCCCCCCAGTCCCCAAATGGATGTTGAGCCCTTACTGCCCACAGTTTTTCTCCTCGGATCCAATGCCACTGCAACCACACTACTTGTTATTGTAACATAAGGTGAATTAGACCAACTAAATTAGGCTCTGCTCTACACCACCTTCTAGTCACTTCTCTCTCTCACTCTCCCAATGACAGAGATTGGCCCCTAACTAACAACTGTCTTTGCAAATATCCCTTCCAACTCTCAAAACTTTACATGAACTTGGAGAAAGCAAAGTGTCCTGCATTTCTCATTTTGAAGGGAAGCCTCACAGAGAACTGGAAAGTTTATTGCAATATTTCTGTCACAAAAACTAGTAATCTTACAGAAGAATATGTGGAGCCCTCCAGTCCACATATATCTCATAGGCTTAAAGCCTCTGGAGATCTAGTTATCTTCTGAAGAGAACACAAAGGAGACAACAAATCTGTGAAGAAAAGATCACATACAATTTTGAAAAGAGAGGTTTTGAGTCAGGAAAAATCTCATTTGAGAAGGATACGTCTTCATTACAAAACGGCATAGGTGAGGCAACAAACATTTTAATACGACACCAACACTTATGTTCTGATAAAGTTGATATCTTATGTGGGAACTTTCTATGGGTGGAAGAGAATGCCATGTACTATGTCACGTCAGAACACACTTACCACCAAATATTCAGAAAACAATAACTTGAAAACCTATCAGAAGGCAAAAAGCACAGCCTCAGAAGGTAAAACCTAATACAGAACTATGCTGGTTTTAAGAAAACCTATTTTGCAAATATTTATCCCTAACAGTGAAATTACTTATTTGATTTTAGTCTAGAAACCTTGAACATTTGGCTTACTGTTTAGAAAGTTAAGCCTCAACTCCCTTGAGATCTCAATAGGTTTTTGTTATATTATAAACAATCACTCAGCTGTCTAAACATATGGATTAAAAGCAAAAACAAATTACTACTTAATTACTACAGCAAATATCTGTGAAATTTGAGAGGCTATTCTTTTGTGCAACAATGTCATATTAATTCACAGCCGATCAAAGCAACCTGTTACTTAAAGTGATTTGAGATAGATAATAAATGTCAACAGATTTGTAATAAAAGTCCTAAGAGGTGAGACTTACCGTTTAGCTCAACTGATCAGGGTTTGACAGTACTAGTCTTTTTAAAAAATTAAAAGCTGCGGCACCAAAAAAAAAATCTTATTTCATTTGCAAAAGAACACCAAAAAACATGCTGCAATGTTGACTCATTCTGAAGGTCTTATGAGGAATGAATTATAAAGAAAATATGGAAAAAAACCAGAAGAATTGTAGATCTAAGGTAACTATTAAAAAACGTAGAGCTATTTAAATTAAGTAAGCACAATAGGTTCACTAAGACTACAAGATTTCTCTCCTCAAATTTCGCCTTATTTGGAGGTTTCAGGAAGAAAATTACAAAGTTTCTGCCAGGTATCAATTTTACAGGCATTTTATCTAAAACAAATTTTAATCCCTTTGCATGAATCACTTAATAAACACAGCATTGTATAAAATCCTGGATGGTTGAAAGTATCAGTAAACTAGCACTTACTGTGCAAAGGTTTTATCTGTAAGGTCCACATGGTTAATCTTCACAATGCATTCATTTTCATGGAAAAGCCCATCACGCCTGGATCTGCTATTTTCTTCAATACCACGGATGAAGAGTCCCAGCATCCTAAAAGGAAAAAAAAAAAAAAAAAAAAAAAAAAAGAGTGAAAATGATCCTTTATTCTGCTAGTATGATTCTATAGCAACTAAAAATAGATATTAATCTCTACTGTGTATAAGATGAGATAGAGTAGACCATTATGAAGTGCTTAACCTAGTGTCCTGGTTTCATCTGGGACAGAGTTAATTTTCTTCCTATTAGCTGGCATAGCGCCGTGTTTTGGATTTTTACGAGAAGAATGTTGGTAACGCCCTGATGTTTTAGTTGTTGCCAAGCAGTGCTTACACTAGGCAAGGACTTTCAGAGCTTCCCATGCTCTGCCGGGCATACAAGAAGCTGGGAGAGGGCACAGCCAGGATTGCTGACCCCAACCGGTCAAAGGGCTATTCCGTACCATAAGATGTCATGCTCAGTATATAAACTGGGGGGAGTTGGCTGGGGGGCAGCATTTGCCGGGCATCAGTCAGTAGGTGGTAAGCGGTCGCATCATTTGTTTTTCCTGGGTTTTGTTTCTTTCTCTCCTGTTGTTTTGCTTTTCATTATAATTTTTTATTATTACTATTATTTTTATGGTTATTTTATTTTATTTCAATTATTAAACTGCTCTTATCTCAACCCACGAGGTTTCTCACTTTTGCTCTTCTGATTCTTTCCCCCATCCCACGGGGAGGGAGGGTGAGTGAGTGGCTGGGTGGTGCTTGGTTGCCGGCTGGGGCAAAATCACACCACCTAGTGAAAGGATCCCCAGCTCACTCTAACCAACAGGGAGGGGATTGCAAGAAACACCAAGAAAAACTGCTGGACGCTGATGCTATACTACTTGCTAAGAACTTCAGGAAGCAATAAGACCTGTAGGTTATACTTGGAGAAAGAGAGGAAAACACCTAGATCTCCCCATCCAGTTAAAAATTGTAATGTAGTTTATGCAATATTTGTCTGCCACTAAGTAAGATTACATTGCTCCAAAGAAAAGCATGAACAGATTAAAAGTCATTTTCTAACAACTATAATAAACTAAATGGGCATTAGAAAAGATTAAAAATAACCACTATTCTTATGTTTGAAAGTCTCTGAAAGTTTTCAGTTGCCAAAGCCCCTTGTTTTGATACCTGGCAGTAATACTATCTGTTCACGTGGCAGGAGAGCAGCAGAACATCAAAACCGAAGTTGTTTGTTACCAGGTTATGTGCAAATTGAAAACTGAGGTGCAGCACAGAAACTTCTGATAATGCATTAAGTGAACCAGTGTGAGTGGTGCAAACTTCCAGTGTGGCTAACTCTGCTGGGAGAGCTAGGCTATTTCTGACCTACCTGGAGCATCTCTGTATTGCAGACTACAACTCAGCTTAGATAAATCCAGTGATACCAGTACAATGTCCTAAAAAACTGACAACTGCGTGTTTGCGAAGACCTTTTATAATCAGGTTTTATCCACTAAATTTCCATACCACATCAGCATCAAAGACAGATGACCTTTAGAGACTATTTTCTATTGGTTATATCCATAAAATATTAATGTGCAATTTCCATCGTGCCAGCACTCCAATCACAAAACAGAAGTCTTGTATTTTTTCTCAGATTCATGACTGCCCATATCTTTAAGTCCATTCAACAGATTCACAGCACACCATTAACTACTTCAAAAGACCATGCATCTGATCTTAGATTTACTGTATAAGATTTAAAAATTTATATTTATGTCATATCAATGTACTTTAAGTGAAAACTTGACTCCTACTGAATATTACTTCTTCAAAACAACTCCATAAAAAAATTATTCAATCTATCACATAAAGATTCTCTTGCAACCCATGTTCCTTCACTGAAGGATTCAAAGAGGCAGTGGTGGTGAGGGGCCGCAGCCCTATTGATGGCAACATCCAACTAGTGGCAATCAAAAAACTAAACACTAAGAACTAGTGAAATATAATTACATTAAGATGTAAACCAATAAAAGTGGAGAAATAAAAGAAATTACAAATTAAGTCAGTTGCTATGATCTTCACTAATCCTGTTGTGTTTAGATGCTGCATCCGTCTAATGCAATAGGATTGCCCACTTGTCTGAAACTCTTTGTCTGTGCTGTAGTATGAAGGAGTGGCTTGAGTTATGTATGCTGTGGCAGCTTAAATTCATTGCTCCATTACCTTTTTCCAGTCTCAATTCTAGCATTATTTTAATGCACTATTAAATTTTCATTTCCTTTTTAAATGATATCTAAGTGCAAAAGAAAGCAGAAAAACTATTTCCCTTCATTTTGCAGTTCCTATATAAACTAAGATTTTGTAAATGAATGCAATGTTTTAACTACCTCTACAAAAATTGTTGCTCTGCACTAGGCTAAAGCCAGCATTACCTTATTAGAGGATAACTTTACAATTGAAATACCACACCAAGTTAGTCATGGCCAGTGTGCCCCCATAATTGTACCTTGTCATTAACAGAAATAAAAGCTGCTCTTCTGTACTTTCTCATGTTATGATGAGTTAAAATTTATAGACTAGTCTGAGGCTTGATTAAATAAAAGGGACAAGCGATTTAAGTCACTCTACTGCTTTTATAAAGATATCGCTATGCTTCTGCCAAGGGTCATTAAAATTTCAAGACAACTGTCTAAGCAAGTAGTCCGTCTGTCAAAAAACTCTTTTCTCTGAGGGATCCCCAAAAGCATTTGTAAATAAGGACACATTAACATGCATGCAATGTAGACCAAGGAACTCAGCATTTTCTTCATGGAGATCTTTAAAAGCTGCACCCAACACAGCTACACTACAGCACAGAACTGTATTATGATCACAGTAATTACTGATTTTAATAGCTTGCAATTTCATCACATTTTTTACCTAATCATCTTGAAATACACTACAACCTTTATGGCATGCCTATAACAAAGAACTACTGTCTGCATTTCATGATGGGGTAACAAATGCAAGTGCCCTTCTCAAGACAAACAGGCAGCCTGCAAAGCCAAGGACACGACTTAGACCTCCCACAGTTCCTAATGAAGACCAACTTTCTTCTTGAGACAGTGATGACATTTTTTCCAAGGCAGCAAGTGGACATCCATTTTTCCTTTTGGCAAATAAAACATTCTGAATGAATTTGGGTCCTCTTACAAACTCAGATCTTGCTGAGAAAACATTTGCACACACAGACTTTTATAAGGCAATTTAACCCTTTATATCCTCTGTCCTACATGTAAGTTGACAAACAAAGGAACGTGTAAGAATTAAACAGTTTTCACTTTTGCAATAATTGTCTTTGTGTTACAGGCAGCCATCTTACTATAAAGTAATGTCATTTACGGCACTGGCAATTTCCCATCTCTTATTCAGGGCTGCCAGTGTCAAATTAACTATCTGGCTAAACCTCTGTATGTCAAATTGCAGCCTAGATTTTTTTTTTTTTTTTTTTTTTTTATCGCTTAGACGTCCTTTCTTGAGGCTGCAGCGTCTGCCTGCATCGTCGGCCGTACTTTTTCTTTTTTTGATTTTTTTTTTTTTTTTTTTTTTTTTTAAATCTGAGTTAGATAGCTTGGAAAACAGCTATAATGAAAATGCTGACACAGTCTTAACTACAGTACATCAATATGAGCATGCTGCTATAATAGGCTTTTGTGATCTCAAGAGACTATGTTAAATCATTTATAATTAAAGTAATTGTATTGTGACAAAGAAAGGTTCATGGTATAGTGCACATCTTATAAATGCTATACAACCAAATCTGAAAGGTGGCCTGAAAAATATGAGGCATGACCAGGCAAGCAAATCTTTTGACTTTTCTTGTCTGATATGTCACAAAGGAAGGGCCTATGCAGAGAAATCCAACTGAAGAAAAAAACCAAACCAAAACCACAAAACCAACAAACCCAAACAAAACCCCCACACCCGCAAAACCAACCCAACACCACAAAAAAAACAACCAACCCCCTAGCCCCCACACCTCTAGTATTACATTATTATGCAGAGTCTAGTTTACCATTTAGAGAATAAAAACAGAGGCAACTAAAAGGACATAGATGAACAAAGGCATTGGTATTGTCTTATGCATAACTTAGACTAGTAAATATTTTGTTAATGGATAACAGTGTCACAGACTCAAGTACCAATTTTCTTTTAAGCATTTCTTTTCCTTATGGTTAAATACTAAGTATTTTAAGAGAACCACAACTGAAATTCTTTCATTAACACACTTCTTGAGCAATGCAGAAAATAGCTTACCTTCCACTCAAAGATGAAAAAAACGGCACCACATGTATTCCCAAGGGTCCACCTTCCCCAGAAATCTCCACTGTTTTTGTCATTTCACTAAAAAAGAGCACAGGGAAACACATCTCATATGCTTCTTCACAGAATTCTATGTTAAAAACAAATTCCTGATTGATCAGATAGCAGAAAGCATAGAAAAAGTATTAGACTCAGAATACACTAATATACAAAAATATGAAATGTAAAATTGCTATCAAATTCTTTATTTTTTTTAGATCAGGATTTGTGTACTTTGAAAGGGAAAGACAGTAAGGACTAGACATCTTCCTAACTCAAGTCTTAAGTAAATTAACCAGAATATTAAAGGTTAAGCTTTTGAGTCAGGATAGATTTTATCATTAAAAAAAGAAAAAAAAAGTTGTTGTTCTACATGTTCTTAATTTAAGCTTCACATGAGTTGCTTCAGTCAATTTCCCCATGTGGACACGTTAAAAACATGAAGATCACACATTAAGGGCATCAAGCCAATAAGCAAATTAGTCAAATCGTATTTAAATATCTTTATTTCTGCCCTCAGTGGTATACAACATCACTGACAAATAAAGAACAAAACAAATCGTAATCAGAAGTGCAACTCAGCTCATTTTATCAGGAAGTTTCCTTCCTCAAACACCATTATCGAACCCCTCTATATTATCCCTGACAGATTTTTGCTGTTTCATTTCCTATTGAGTATTTTACACTGTCAGTGACCTTAACTCTATTCTGGGTGATCATAATTTGAGAAAGACGGTACCCGAATTGGCTAGAACATCAAAGGTGAAAAAAAAAAAAAGAAAAAAGAGAAATTATAAAGGTCTGTATTCTAGCAGATCATGTTCCTACTTTCTATGCTAGTCTATGTCTTCTGTAATACCCCCTCCCCTCAAATCGTACTGAACACCACCACTCAGGATTAGCGGTCAGTGGACTTCTACTGGCTATGCCCATTTACATGATGAGAAAGATGACCAAGCTCCCAAATTCATTTTTCCGTAGTACAACAATTTCCTCTGGGATCAGCTGACTGATCTCACTGACCCATGCTCTTACGATCGTTTGATGTGATGCAAGAAGAAATGCACAGGTGTAAGGGAGGAATCTGTGACCACCTTGAAGTGGCAACACACAGTTACACCAGATTAGATACAACATAATGATGCAGGGCACAGCTAAGCTCTCTCTCAAGTAGGAGAATCACTGCAAATGATCTTAGACAAATTCTGGTATTGCTTCCTAATAATGCAGGATTTGGGGTTTTTTTCTTGTTATGAACCTGTATGCAGTTGCATAATGATTAATCAGAAGCAACTTGCCCTAGATACAGTAATTCTTAGCTTGGTCAGCTAAATATGGAATAAGACCAGAAAATAAGTTATACCATTTTCTTTCTGTTTTGGAGTTTGGGGGGATGGCTGGTGTTTCTTTGTTGGGAGTTTGTGGAGGGGTCTTTTTGTAAATTATTCATCCAAAAAGGCTGATGCTGGAATGAAATGGACAGACCCTGAACAACAAACCACGCCTGATCCCAATGTCACAGATTTTCACGTTACTACATTTATAACACAGGCACAATCAACAGGCATTTCTATTTGCTGATTTTTTGTTTCCTGTATGCCCCTCTCATCATGAATCAAACAGGGAAATGCTGACAAAATCTTCCTGCAGGCTTTTTTAGAAAATTTTTTTTTCCTAGTGAAACTGGTCAGGAAAGCTAATCAGGGCGGTTACCAAGAACTCAAAAATGCATGCATAGGAAATTAACTCTTCTTTCAGTTCCATCTTCTACTTCCTCCAATTCTCTTAACAGACCAAAAAAAAAATAAATTAAACAGCTACTTTTACTGTCTTTTGAACTTGTACAGAATCAAAACACATGAGTAAATTAAGTAGCCGAATCCTATAGATCCAGAAAATAATTGAAAGTTGTGAACAGGCTTTCATTTGTACAAGGAAAATTTAAATAAATTACAATTGTCCCCACATAACCCTGCATTGCTCAAGTACTCCAGGGAAGAGTTGTCTTCCTAAGCAACTGTAAAATAGGGCAGGAATTTCTTTGAGGGCTACCACGATAGACAGGTTAGCTGTCATATTAAATCAATGCATTTACAGTTCTAAGCAGGCTCAAAGCCAAAGAAAACATACAAGTTTATTTTTAAACCTAACATGAAATCTACACACTAAGAAAAATAGGTTTCTTTGTGAAAATAAATAGCCCACTGTGTATTACTTTTAAAAATATTGTGGTACTAAAGCATTAAGTATCTGGAATAAGAGCACACTCTCTATACATATATATATATATATGTATATATATAAAGGTAGTTTAGAATTGTACTTTTAATCAAAAATCTATGAGTCAGAATGACTTTTCATTCTCAAACAAATGTGATTATTAGTTATATCTGAGAAGAAAACTGCCCTTCATGACAACTTTAATGGATTTTGAGGATATAATATTTTTCTATCATACCTACGAATGCTTGACAGTTAAAAAATTAAAAAGCAGACTACCCCCAATTTGGCTTTTTTTGCTTTAGGAACCTCAAAGATTAGAGACTCAGAAAAATTTGACATCATTCACTCCTGCTATTTACCTTCCAGCAGGTTTAACCTGCCCAGAAGAACCACTGAATTCCAGCAGTGTACTATTCCATGCTGGCTTACAATTTACACTATACTGGAGAGACCATTCAGGAATGGGGCACGGCTAAATGAGATCCTAAACAGGATGAGCTTTAAGAATACTAATTACTAAACTCCACAAGGGACACCAAGGTGCTGGGACTCTTCTGTTTGACAGAGTCAAGTTAAAAAACTTAAAGAAGAGGGCGGGAGAATGCAGAATGGCTTTCCACTGCTGGTTGATAGCTGTGATACTGGCAACAGAGAGGGTAATTTATGGATCTTCTGCAATATTCAACACATTTAAAAAACAAACCAACCAACCAACCCCCAAATTAGGAAAAAATTTAATTCCAAAAGTTAGTAACCTACTAGTGGCCTGGTCCTATTTTAAATCTCCCATATACATATTTAATGCATTTTGCAGTAAAAGAAAAAAAAAAAGTCTGGCCTATCAAGTCAGTATAAAGACTTGGAGTCCAGTTGCTAGCTGGGGATGAGAGGCTGGGAGCATTGGTAAGGGATGCACAGAGGGTGCCTCTATGAGCTACGCTGCTGGTATCTCCTGTGTGTTCTTCAAGGAGCAGACAGAGCTCCTACCTCAGAAAATACTGTCAAATACTGTCCTTGCTGAGTTTGCAACCCAATTTCTATGGAATACATAGAGATATGTTCTTACAGCAATCAAAGTAAGTGAACTTTTAAAAAGCATTTATTTCAGTGACATTTATCCGAACTGCAGGTTTGACCCCAACTAGAACCACGGCACTCAAGCTTCTTCGAATGCATGCTGGCACCTCCCTTCCCCTCACCGTGCTTAAAGGTGCCTCAGAGGTCTCAGTGAAGAGAGAATACCTGCCCAGCATGTGGCATCCAAGACCACATTCAACGCTGCACTATTGATTTTTAACCTGAAGAAGCTGTCATCATTTACTATTTAAATTCTTCATCTCTTGATGTTTATTGATTTCTGCTAGACTCTTTACAGTCAGGAAGGCCTTGCCATGCACGTTATTAAAAATGTTGATGAGTACAGTTTAGCAAAGAGAGAGATATAGAAAATGTATGCATTTGTGCGTAGTGAGCATGCACAGTAGTCCGTTCGTAACATGGAAAACAAAATTTAAATGGAGTGCTGCACATTCAGCAGTGCACACTCAATGGTGAATCAGTCTGATCTTCAGATTGGCAGTGCCCTTGCCATCAAATAATATAGTTCCCTCTCCTGAAAACTGTATAAAAAATTAGCAGTTTGTCAGTTAGGCCATGGGAAACCATCTATTAGGTGAAAACTTCTCTGCAAACTATCCAGTAATACTGAAGAACCAATCTCAACCACTGAGCACACAGATGTTTAAAAGGGACCTCTCTCCAGAAATAAATGTTCTGGAGCTTTGCAGCAGGACCTGGTTCGCTAAGGCGCTTTGACCTTCCCAAATTACGAATGCTAGGAGAATCCTGGTAGGATTTCTCTTGGAGAATGCAGTGGAAGCAGCCTAAAGAGGATTAATTATTTTGCAACATACTGAAGACAGGACCTTGGAAAAAGCTGCTTTCTTCATGGGTTACTGAGCAAAAATCGTCATCTTGTTTATGTCACAAGAATGTACTGCCCGAATAAACACAGATCAAGTATTTATCGTTCCAACGGCATATTCTTTTGCCATTTTAGTCTTATTTAACACTTGCATGTATGTCTTCAACCCAGGCACAACATGACTAAGCAAAAACCTTTGAATAGATCATCCGATTCCTCATATGTTTTTAAGAAAAGGTATGGATTAGTAAGCTGCTGTATCTGAAAAAGATCTCTTAGCGCAGGATATCAATATATCCCTTGCAAACAGAAAAGCACAGCTGATATTCTGGACATGCTTTTTGGCATTTTTATTGACCACATCCAAGTAAAAGGCAAAGGAAGTGTGACCCAGATGCAGAGAGCTCACACATTAAATTACTGTGTTCCTTGCTTGTTCTTCACTTGTGCCTCCAGCCCCACCAGTCAATGCTGCTGTTCCAGGGGAGGAAAGCATCCGCGAACAAGGGGCGCTGACATTTGGTAGACAGCACAAGCCTACAGGTGATGTCAAGTTACTAAAGGGAATTTTAAAGAGGAAGCATGCACAGATTTATCCAAATAAAGATGATTCAGTCCACATATTTCTTTCACATATTAAAACAGTACAGCTGCTGATGGTAATACAGTATTTGTACCCATTCTTCCAAAAGAGGCTTCCATAGTAGCCAGCTCAAAAAAGCTGTCAGACAGAATACTTCCCATCCACCTCCTACTGCTTTTCCACATTTTTCCTTCCTTCTTTTAAATTAGATGCTCTGATGAAAATGTCTTGAAAGCCCTGGAGAAGAAACTGGAGGTCAAGATGTTAAATAGTGTGAATACACTCAAATGATGAAAATCTGAGCAATATCTAAATAGGGATGGAGAGCACCCTACAAGGAGAGGAGAAAGCAACTGAACGTGCAGAGTCAAGAAGGAGCTTAGGAGGCACAGTTAAGGAAACTGCTCACTCTCTTTTAGAAGAGACAGGTACATTCCAAGTGCTCCATTCTACACAAAACTAAACAAACTATCAACAAGTTTAAATATTTACTACAGAATAATGTCAAAATCTTCCAGTTTCAGGTTTGAAGAGGTAACCAATCACCCTCTCCTAACTAAAATGCATTCATCTAGTAAAGATGCTACTGTAATACAGATTTTTTTCCCCACTAGAATTAGTTAGTTCTCACGAGATTAATGGTCTAAAGGTTTAGAGAAAAAACAGACAACCCGCAGGCAGTAGGGTTTTGTGTCTTTTTTTCTTTAAATCAGGTTGTTCCACTTCTGTGTTGTTAGACTAATGAAAGACACAGAAGGTTAAAAAAAAAGTAAAATACAGAGAAGGAAAAAAACACTGCAGTTACACTTTAATTATGTATCTACAGTGCTTAAACCAAGGAACTGACCCTGACCTCTGCTAGAAAGAAGTGGGAAGACAGCAAAACAGAACATAATGAAAACACATAATGAATTATCTATGCATAAATTACCCTTTGATTTCCAACTAATCCACTGCTATTAAGCTAAACATCCACTTCCAAGCAGATTCATGTTTACTGTTCCCTAACACAGTCATTCTTACTAAGAAAAGAAAAGCAAGGTTCAATGTTAAAGGTTGTGACAAATTTCTACCTGATTTCTGTAGAGTATCAAGACCCTGCTGTTACTTTCAAAATTTTCCAGTCCTAGTCCAGAACATGAAAGGAAGCATGGAAAAAATACCAAATTCTATACACTGATGGCATTAGCTTGGCTTCCCTTATTCTGAACATCGTCTTTACTAGCAAATCCAAAATAAAAAAATCCACCTTCAGAAATTACAAGAGGATTGTCATTGGTCCTGTCTTTACTTACTCCATCAAAAAACATGCCAATGACCTAATGTTTCAAGCCTCTCTTCTAGCAAAGTTCAACTCTCAAAAAGTCAAATTAAAGATTTCAGACTCCTGAGGGATATAGCCCTGAAAAGTTTCCCAGTACTTTCACAGTGAAATGTTTTAAAGACAATCCAGGCAAAGACACTTTCCTTCCTACTAGTTTCTGAATAGAGGAGCTACAAATCCTCCACCCTACCACCCCATTTTCATTTACCCAACGTGCAACTAATTCTACCTACTTAAATCAGTGAACTGATTTTCTTCAAATGGAACATTTTTCCTACTTGAGTGAAAAATACAAACCAAGCCAAGCCTGAAGCCTTTCACCACAACTGACTAGGCTTCACAATCATTAAATATTAATCATGGTGTTCTTTTTTCTTGCTTCCCTCTGAAATACCCATTACTGGCTGCAGTTAGAGAAAGGACACAGACCTCAGACAGGTTGGTGCTCTGACTAGATGGCTCAGATAATTTTCTTAGGTGACTAGCTGCTATTTTGCTTAAGTGCTATAGGTCATAATGATTACCCAACTCAGTGACAAGAAGGAATATTTTCTAGTGAAAGCAGCAGGGACAATAGTGGTTTTCTTCTTTCTTCCATAGCAAGGAGTAGCTCACAATTAGGCTGAAATATTAGCTTCATTAACATCACTGTAATTTAATATGGCTTATTTAAATGAAGGCTTAAGGTATCATGACTTGGTGGTCCTTCATGGCCCTAACTTATTTGAAATGGAACAAGAAAGATACCTGCACAAATGAGAATTATAAATAACACTTTCTTTCAGAAAGAACAGTGTAAAAGGAGTCAAATTAGATATTAAGATGCTAGTTTTACTACTTGTGGAAAAAAAGTTTTATTATTTAATTCTATTTTATTAATAAAACCTTCTTTACTTATATTCAATCAATTCAGATACCAGTAAGATAGACGGATGGTCTATAGTGACTCATTATTTTCCTTTATAAACCTATTGCTCCTAATGAAAAAACTTTTGTAAAAGCTGTTTTAAAAAAACACTCTTCACTTTTAAGGAAAAAGCCATGCAACAATCACAGAATCATTGCCTTAAAATTTATATTTGACTTTTGAAATTCCACTGACTTTTTACAGAATTACCAACTACATTTGCTTTACAAAATAATGTGTTCTGAATTCTTCCAAAGTTCACAGTTTGAAGAAATTAGAATATATCACAAATACTTGAAAGTAATACACAATTTTGAGGAAAAAAGTCCTCATACTGCCCATCTCAACACTTACAGGCAAAACAGTTTTTAAAAATCTCAGGACACAGGAAGCACAAGCAAGGTATCTTTTAGGACAACTATTTCACTAGGAAACAAATACTGCTCCTTTCTCTTTACTTTGGTGTTTGGTTTGGTGGTTTTGTTTTTTTCTTTTCTCATTGTCAGCGTTTTCAGTGGCCACCAAAATCAGGTTATAGAGAATAAAAGTGAATGAATATCACAAACTACTTCTGAAGAATCCCAAATGAAAGCAATGACTTAACTTGATAAACATTAAGATGCTCTCTGAAAATTCCTAGGAGGACTTGGACGATCTAAAACACCCTAGTAAAAGCATAAGGACAACAGTAAATATGAGTATAGCATTCACAGAGCTTGATTAATCCCCATTACAAAGTAACGGATCAAAAGACAAATAAGTGCATGTATTTGGTGATGTATAATAATTACCTCAGTCGAAACAAGCTGTAGAAGTCTTTAGCAACATTCCATAAAGAGAAAACAAGCATTAGCAACTAAACTGACTAAGTTCTATACTTGCATGATGAACACTAATCAGCTGGTGTGTAACTTAGAGGCCCGGCAGGTGCAGAGAAAAGCTGGAAGAGCACTCCAATTCCTTTTCATGATGAGACCATTCTAAAAATATGTATCAGTACCAGCAGGCAAGAGAAGAAACTACAAAATGGCATACAAAGTAGGTGACAAGGAGGCCTCCAAGGGGGAGGAAAAACTCAGTTGTTGAAAAGCACAACCTTATCAAGATCAAAAAATCTCCCATAATAGATAGGAAATGATGACTCAAAGAACAAGAAAAACTAAGAAATTAACTCTTTTGCACAGAAAAGACTAATTTTTGACATGCTCTAAAAGGAAAGGGGATCCTTCTACCAAAATTCTGGCATGGCCCAAAAGACCACCAAAGTTTGAGTGCTCTTGCGAACTTCCCCACAGGCTTTGGGTATATAACTTCATGCCTCTTTCCCAGACCCCATGTTGGTAAAATGGGAATATTAACACTTGGGTTTTCTCAGGTGCTTCTGAGGATAAATGCTCTAAGATTAAGGCATGCAGATACTGTTTATTTCATGGTTTTTATTTTATACTGTTTTGACAAACAACTGTAAGCTGCAAAATTATAGCAAATGTTTGTTATCATAAAAATTGAAACAAATTAAATTTTGACATTTTAGCTGTCATGCAGAAGTTTGCCATATAGCAGTTCTTAATTTCATTATACAATGTGCTATGATACCACTACAGTTCTGCAACAAACACAACATACTTGACAAAGGACTGAATTCCTCTGCCTACTCAAAAAGGTGACTTCAGCACAACCTGAATTACCAGTCAAAACTGAAATTCATGCTTATGGTGGGACAGGAGAATAACAGCATGAAAACATTTTGCTCTAAATTTGCCAGGTCAAATCCTCTATTACCACCACTGAGGATCTGACTGACCTACTTTGTGACACTGTATTGCAACCTGACCTGTTAATTTTGGTGTAATAAATGTAATCTGCAAATTTTTTTTTCCCATTTCAGCCATTTAGAATTTTCCCTGTGATTTCAGGAACAATAAACCCTGAAGCTTATTATTAAACCTCTTGAGAACACCTAGTTTCCTCTTGTTTCAGCTACACAGGTCTCAAATTTTACCGTATTGGCTTCCAATACAGATTATACATTTACCTAAATTTAACTCAAAATTTAGACTTGTCAAAATAGAAGCTACTTCCCAAACTATCATTGTGATGACTTCAGTTATAACAGCACTGGCCACCTCTGGTTTGTTATAAATGAAGAGAGGAAAAGGATGCATTCCGTCTGACTCTAGTGAGGCAGTGCACAGGGAAACATTGCAAATACTGGCTATGGTTTTCACAGAGTACAAACATAGATATAAAATCTACTATGAGGTATAGCAAAGTAATAACCTTACCACTCAAAAACAGAGGTGACGTTTTAACTGGAAAAGATTGGTTTAGGATTACATGGTTCAGCTGATTGGTTATTTATTGAGATATAATATGCTACTTAAGAACATCCTCTACCTTAAGATACTAAATGCTTGCACGACTGAGTAGAAAGCAAAAACACCGCGTATACAATAGTAGAATATTTCCCCCTTAGCCTTATACTACAACACCACAGTAAGAACACTCATATTCATCAACGAGGGTAAAAGATTGTCATGCACAAATATGTGCTTCAGTATGTGAATTGAGTGCATTTTTAGGATGGGAAAGGGATGAGAAGGAAGAGATCATGATGAAGAGCACAATGCAGATTTCACAGGTGCAGCTGCAATGAGAAGTCAGTCCTGGCTTGCATGTTGATAAACCACTCTTGAGTCAGCACCGAACAGAAGATGTTCCTACCTGACAGGGAGCCGGGCCCTCTGAGCCAACAGAAGTTCTGTGGGTCCAGCGAGGTTCATCTCCCCATCCTGAAAGGACACCTGGGAAGCACCCTGTTGAGAGATTTCAAAGCACATTTTGAAACTATGTACATATTTATGCGTATAGAACAATGGCTGCATTTATATTTTGCAGTGAATATTTGTAAGAGAGAGCAAATCATAAGTAACAGTGAGGACTGAAAGACCCATTCTGTATGCAGTGTGCGTGACAGCATTCTGAGAAACAGGAGGGCATCTCAAGGCCTGCACCTCATACCGGTGTCCCACTGTGCTTCCACTGGAGAAGCTTGCGGTACTGCTTCCTTGTCTTCCTGTCTAACCTGGATGTCACTCTGCACCACCCTGAGCCACCTCCTTTCTCACAATGGATTCCATAGACCTTGGAAAAACCCAAAAGGCTTTTTTTCTGCTCTTTCTATCCCCTAGAAGCATTTATCTGGTAAAGACACACTTTCATGGTAACTTCACTGAAAAAGGAATGATGTAACCCTTTGGCCAGACACAAAAAATACATTGTACACAGGGACCTGACATTAAGGCTAACGCTCTAGAAAACTATTATTTAACTTTCTTTTTGAGATCCTTAGACTCTTAATGTTTGCATTTTTTCCATGCTGGGAGAGGGAAAG